TTTTTTTTAATAAAAATAAAACCAAACATTTATTTCTTACAAAAATAAAAACAATATAAACGAATATTACTTATAAAAACAAATAAAATTCTAAGTCAGTCAGATCATTCAGTCTATTCTGTGTTTCCAATTTTCTGCCTTTTTGTCAAGAAGGCATCTAATGTAGTTTGCGTTTTCCTTTTGCGTTCTGTTAGAAGTTGTTGATAAGTGGATAAAGCATCTATAACACCCCATCTTGCTTTTGAACTCCTGTCAAAATTTGGATCATTTTCAACAAATTGGTCCATAATTTCAGTTATAGTGGTCAAACTCCTTTTTTCATTATCACCCACGATAAAAACTAAAGATCATAATATTTGTCACTGTATTAATCATTATAGTATTATATAAATTTATACTTAGAATAATGTCAACAAATGTTTCAACTGATAAAAATGCATCCGTACAGCACCGCACCAAACAAGAAACACAACTACACTGTTTCGGATAGGTTATGTACATATTTGGAAACCTAGCGCTGCGCACAATTTCGGGGAATCCCCGTAATGCTGCGAGCAATTTCGGGGAATCCCCGGGTTGAAATAAAAGAGCGCTAAACCGAAACAGCGTTAAGCGGGGTTTTACTGTATATATTTTAGCAAGAATTTGTGATATATACAATACTTAAGAATCACGATGGTTAAAAACTTTTATGCCAAATTTTGAATAAATAATGAATTAAACTATGAAAATATATAATAAACCTTTATGGATTTTGCCGTAGAAGTGGCAGTTGCTATGGAGCACAGGAGGTAAATGAGGTAAATATCGCTCACTGTTTCAATCGTCATTTGAAGAGTAATCTGTGAAAGTTACAGATATTTACGACAAAATTGTTAATTAAAAAAATAGAATAATATGCAGTATCCTGCAACATGTACATTCCTTACTTTTTTAAAATATATTATAAAAGTTTATTATCATATATTTTCATAGTTTAATTCATTATTTATTCAACATTTGGCATAAAAATGTTTTTAACCATCGTGATTCTTAAATATTGTATATATCACAAATTCTTGCTATAAAAAAAGAAAAATTTGAATATCTTACAAACAGGAGCAGCTAGGATTTCAATTCAAACTGATTTTGAATCTATTTTCAAGTATAAATACATCGCCGCTTTCAGTTTTTGTCGGCATTTTTATGCGATAAAGTTGCTTCCTGCCCACCGTGTTGTTACTTTAAAAACTTAAAAGAGATGTCTTACATAATTTACCTTGAAATTATTTACAACATAGTGATTCAAAAAATAGAACTGGGTACAATTTTACAAAATACTGTTGTAAAATGTAGGTAAATTTGGTTTGTTGTTAAAAATATGAAAAATTTGCAAAATGATACAGGGTGTAACTTTGAATGAGGATCATATTTATCTGAAGACTACATGTGACCTTTAGAAACACATATCAATAGTTCATTTTCAATAATTTTTTCAATTTCCCTCATGGAAACAATGAATTTTTTTTAACCTTTTTTTTTTAGTAATTTTTATACCCGGAACCAGGACAAGCTACTGTGACCTCAAACAATGGTGCGCATTTCACAGGGCATTCACAATTGGGAACTGGGCTACACATTGTTGTCAAATCTGATAAATTTAAAGTAAAGGTTATTAAAAAGCAAATTTACACAACTCCCACCTCAATTGCTCTTTGGCACATTACTTTCGTTGAGTAGGTCAAGAGCCCTATCATCCCCCATAAATTAAAATTTATTTTAAATAAACTATGAAATACTATTTAACAAGTAATCTAACAGAAAACTCAAACAGTAATCAATAATGATGAATGAACTTGACTTGCTGAGGGACGGCCAGAGTGTTTAAGATCGCTAATTGATCCAGTCCATTTGATAAATTCAGGGAGACTTCACACTAAAATTGCGAACTGTAGTTGCCAAACCTTTATTATTTTTAAAATATTGCTTGACAATGAAAACATGTGCTTTCGTGTAGCGCTCCATTTTTACTTTACCGCACAAATGACGCAAAATTCAAATCTGACGTGAATTTTGGTATACCCAATATAGTTACCAGATTAAACAATTTTTTTTCAGGTATTTTAAAAATATGGTTGGCATTTTCGCAGAATTCATCCCACAAATTGTTTTCCTCGTTTTTCTATTCTTTTATATGGTGATACTGATGTTCATAAAATGGTTGAAGTATTTTGCAAATATAGAAAGTAAGTTTTTGGACTATCATAAATTATCACTAAAAATGAAATAAATTTCTTAACAGAAAAGGATTTCATTTATGGTACCAGATGTGCTCCGTCTGTATTGATAACATTCATTAATATGATACTGAATAATAAAACTCCCTTTGAGAAGGAATGTCTGACCTCTGACATGTTCCCTGGACAAATTTATTTACAAAGATTCCTTCTTGCCTGTGCTTTTATATGTATCCCCTGGATGCTTCTTGCCAAACCTCTTTATATAATGAGAAGCCGAAAGAATACTAGTTATTCGGTAAGTAAAATTTTGAATATAAGCTTTAGTAAAAAATGTTTGATATATTGCAACAGCCAAATATCTGAATTCGTAATTAAATCCATTTTAATATACAACTATCTTAGAGATTAATTTTTATTCAAATTGAATCATTATTTATGTTGTAAAACACATTTTATTGGAAAATTGTTTTCTATGCTTCAAGGAAATTCACTCTTATATTTTTTAACCAATTATGTAACAAAATTAAGAGGTATTAAATCAAATGAATGGGAAAAATTGCAAATATGTGTCTATTTTTTAAATCTCAGTGTTTGCTGTATATTGCAAAGCTTTGCAAGATTACACGGAGTGTCATCACAAATCTTAATAAGGAAATGACTTAATTGTGCAACAAGTAGGAATTTTGTTTTCTAAGTAGAAACAGCGAGCAATGGTGGCTTTAACCATTGCGAGGCTCCGGGTGGCAGATCTTCACAAGGCCCTTGTTCTTTGTGAAATGTACATAAATTGAATATAGACTATCCTAATGATTTAAGGGCGCCGTTTTATAGACAAGAAATCGCACTTTTGGTAAGACAGCGATAGCATCTGATAGATACATGAAAATCCATCCAGGAAGTGGCGGTCTCTACTAGCATAATGCCAAACTATAACAACTTCGTAATACCACATAGCAATCGACGTAAAGATTTCTTTAAACGGTAACTATATATTCTCAGGATATTGGCAAGCCTATTATCGTCCAGAGCCGCATTAGGGAAAATATGTGCAATGAACAAGAATTGTCAGATAATTTTAATATTTGCACAAAAAAATAATATAATAACCTACAGTGTTTTAATAAAATATTCGATGTGAAAACAGGAATACTATACTTGATACTATCAAAAATTTATACATTTATTATAGTGTTTACGAAGATAGTTGAAACCGTATAAAAACTAAAAGTCGGCATCTCTTTATTGTGCNTAGCACTACCTAATTTTTTAAGCATAAATGGATAGTCCTTTTGAAGGGAAATACGTCGATATAGGGTTTGGCCTACTTTACTTTGACAGGAGCGAAAAAAGCCAATGACTGGAATGGACATGGTTTAAAATAACAACAAAAGTAGGTATCATAAACTGATGTGAGAACAGTGCCAGAGTAAAAAATGGAAATTTGTAGATGTTTTGTGTTTTGGTTGATTGTAGGTACGTTTTTATGTATTGATATGTTGGCGTTCGGCGATACGACGAATGGCAGTGTGTGGATTTTCAGTGACAGCTAAACATAACATTTTGCCTATGATTTTCTATCACTGTCGTTGGCCTTCTAGATCTAGACAAATTTATAACATGGCCAGCGTCTTCAAATTTAGGTACTAATCTGCATACTGTAGACGGAGGTATTGGTTGTTCTGGATACTTGGCATTGAATAATTAACATACTTCATCATAACTACGGATCCTATCTCCGTATCCAACCATAATTAGGATTTCAGTTATTTGTTTCTCATTTAAACACACCATTGTAATGTAAAGTTATGGTATTTGTAACTGTCACAATGATATGAAGCACTATTACATTCGCTAACTGTCGTCTTCAGAACAATGCCTACGTAGCCCCTGTGATCAGGTGTACCTATCCAATCTACATAAAAACATGTGCCTACAATCAACCAAAACACATTTTTTGCTATAGCACTGTTCGGGCATAAGTTTGTGATACCTACTTTTGTTATTAATTCAAACCATGTTCATTTCAATCGTTGGCTTTTTTTCCGCACCTGTCAAACTAAAGTAGGCCAAACCCTATATCGACGCATTTCCCTTCAAAAGGGCTATCCATTTATGCTTAAAAAATTAGGTAGTGCTATTTTAAAAAAATGTCAATGACGTCATAGGTTTATGAAACATAGTGCAAAAAAGGTTTAAGCAACGTGACAAAACGACAATTCCTATTTACTAATNACGCATTTCCCTTCAAAAGGGCTATCCATTTATGCTTAAAAAATTAGGTAGTGCTATTTTAAAAAAATGTCAATGACGTCATAGGTTTATGAAACATAGTGCAAAAAAGGTTTAACCAACGTGACAAAACGACAATTCCTATTTACTAATTGATGTGTATATATATATACAGTGCGTCCCAGAAGTAACACAAAAAATTCATATTTTATTTTGTGTTGAATTTTCACAAAAACGCTAAAACACGTCAATTAGTAAATAGGAATTGTCGTTTTGTCATGTTGGTTAAACCTACACACACATATATTACACATATCTGTATCGTGTTTCCTAAATTAATAGTTTTCACACATAAAGTTTAAATTATGATGATGTTCAACACTAAAATTAAATGCAAAATAAAAATGAATAACAAAAAAGTTCTCCTGATGCAGCTGTTGTTTTAATAAAAAAATTTTTTGGTTTTTCTTTTCTTTTATATTATACATGGAGTTGGTTGCTCTTAGGTTTTTAATGTGACTTGTACAAAAGTTCCCGATCGGCAGCGAAACGTTAGAATTTAATAAAAAATTATTGCTGCTGTTTTTTATCATTTTGACCAGTGGTCAAACTAGAACCTAATACCTAAGAAAAATAATTCCCAATATAACGAGCGTTCAAATAAAAACGTGGTCAAGTTGGTTCTGAAAATTTGGACGTAGGGCGTAGCGCATAGCAAATGAACTTAAACGTCATCTGTCAAAGCGCTATATCGCCGCTATCAATTTGAATATTTTCGTTTTAAAAAGCGTTTAAAATGGTGTTTTCTCAAGAACAAAAAGTGTTTATCATAGAGTNAAATATGTTATGAATTATAATTAATGTAGTATTAAACACCCTGAACCTATTAGGAAACATAAAATATGAGAAAAATAGAAATAAAAAAAAACAAAATAGTTTATCAGATCCTCTGGTAAATATTTTCATAATTTATTAATTGTAGTTCATTATTAATTTCTTATTTATTTCAAAATTGTACCAATACAAAGAGCACGTGTTCGTGTTTACCGGCCGGCAGACCAGTTTTTTTGTTGCAAATACTTATAGCCTAAGAGCTAGCGTGATTTTTTCCCATCATTTGTACCAAAGCATAAGCACATTAATGTTGAAATAGGTTTAAAGTGATCAAATATCGCTACGTCTGCCGTTGCAAACCGACAGCGTTTGGCCGGAGGCGGCTACTCAAACTTGTTTTTTTTTTTTCAAAAACTTGATTTGTACCACCTGCAGACTATGAAATTCAGCTATGGGAATACATACGACCACAAAAGTGAAATGACAGACAAAAAAGTCGGTAGCGTTTCTTAATTACAGCCAATAAAATGGTTCCGTCTCCGTCGTAAACATCGTAGCGGTCTGTGAGTGCAAGCGAAATGGGTTCAGGCTTGCAAACACGCAGGGGACGGAGAAGGATATATTATTCGATTTAATACATTCCACGCATGTTTAGTGGCTCTGTAAATAGATTTGTAAGAAAATAAATTTAAGCAAACATATATTTTATTGAAACTTAACATTCAGTAATAAGAAAACTAAACATTATACACTATGAAATAAAAAATATGAAAATTTTGCCATTTTGAGGGACACTATTTTAATCGGAAGTGTATACACATTTCATTTTTTTCTAACGGCGTGTTTATAAACTTGTCATGCTCCATTTTTTAACTTATAATCATCTATCTAACATAAGTAAAAACTTATACCATTACGAAAGCCATACTTCCAGCGTAAGCGTGTGTATTTTTTTCTAAACATTGTTTATTTTAGCAAACCTGCATGACGGTCTAATAAAGCTTTTTAGTTTTGTGGTATTCAAAAAAACGCGGCGGAAGATTAACGAGCATGCGTTGTATTGCTTAACATTTTAATTTACATTTTTGATAAAATATTAAATCAAATGTAGAGCTTTTTTATATAGAGGTTGTCTCATAATTAATGTCCAATAATTTATCACTTGATTATATAGCCAAAAATAAGAATATGTTTTCAAATAAACGTGGGTCGATGCTTCGTAAGGGATCTACGCTCCCTAAATGGGGGCCTCAAAACATTCATTTTTTAAATATTTTCGAAACGGGCTCAAAGAAAATTGTAAATTTTGACACAATTGACGCTCATTAAAAGATCATCATAAAATTTTAGTTGTCGGCTAAAAGAGTGACTGCAAGATGGGGCATGGCAAGGGTAAAATCAGGAATGTCCTTCTAAAAATGCTAATGATATACCCACCCCATGCGGGGGGTGTTTTTCACCTTGAGCATTTTTTGGAGGGCATTCTTGATGTTACCCTTGCCATGTGGAATTCCGCCAATTTTTACCCAGATTTTGGTGACAATTTTTTCTGTTTTCTTGTTTTAGGGGTGGTTTCCACCCCTTAAGTAGGGGTAAGTCTGGACAAATATTGGAAAAATCGAATTATGCTCACCTAGATTTTTCATGACGATCAATTTAAACCCACGTTGACCTCTGGACGACCTTCCCCGTTCTTGCTACATACTACGCAAAAACGGGCGAAAAAATGGGGTTTTTTGCGGTTACTCTTTGCCCCTATTTTTTACTTGTCGAAATTTTTAAGTTCAGATGCCAATATATGATAGATATTCATTTCCTTTACAAAAAAGGTACTCTTTAGTTCTTTGGATAAAATGCTCCATTTCCGAGAAAAACGGATTTAAGCAATTCATTACATTACCTTAATAAAATTCAAAAAATTTGTCTTGAATGGCTAAAATGGGCACATGTACCATTATGAATTTTCATATGTCATCATATCAATATACATTGTAATAAACAACGTGAAAAGTGCTTAGAAAAGTTTGTTATGGGCCGTCCCAAGCAAGGGGGGGGGGGATCGGATAAAATTTGTTTCAAATTTTTGCATGCAGCATTTGTTGCTATAAAATTTGATTGTTGATCTGAGTATTCTATGAAAAAATGGTGATGTTTTGATTTGAATTTCAAAATTTCGGCAAACAAAAAAATTGGGGCAAATTTTAGCTGTCGGCCCCCCCCCCCAATTCAGCCGATTAAAATTTTTGAAAAATTTTATTATGATCTATTTCGACTTTTAAGAGCGTTCATGGTATCAAAATTCATAATTTTCCTTCAACCCGTTTTGAAAATAATTTTTTTGAGGCCCTATTTAGGGGGTGTAGCTCCCTTAGGAAACATCTCTCGACCCATGTTTATTTGAAAAAATATTCTTATTTTTCGCAATATAATCAAGTGGTAAATTATTGGACACTAATTTTGAGACACCCTGTATATAAGAAAACTACATTTGATTTAATATTTTATCAAAAATGTTAAATATAATGTTAAGCAAATTAGTATACAACGCACGCTTGTTAATCTGCCGCCAAAAAAGTACGAAATACTGATGCTATACAATCGTTATTAATTAGGCATATAATTAAGCAGTTATAGTAAAACCAAAAATAACTGTAAAAAAAATCTAACTGGTATAATCAAATTTACAAAATATTGTTAATTAGTAAGTCATCATTTCATTTGTTCACAGCGTATTTGCCTCCAGTTCCTCCTTGACCTACATTAATAATAAGTAGGTACCTATTCTGTCATAAAAACATGCCCTTTATTTAAACACATCTAAAAACACTTTATCAGAGGCATGCCGGCGAATTGTACTATACACCTGCACTTTCCGTATTCCACCGTACCACATATTGTTAGTAATATGTGACCGTACCTATTTCATCGTGACGATGCGAGAACGAATCATTTGCTTTAAAATGTGTTGTAAATTGTAAAGTATCTACATAAATCAATCACTTTTTAAACAGAGGCTAATTATAAACATTTCATTTAAAAACTAATAAAACACGATCAGAAAAATTAAATTGTAAAAAATATTTTTAGGGGAACTCATTTGGCTTGCTTCTCAAGAAAAGTGTAATAATAACATGAAGTCACTCTTCAACAAGCAACAGTAATTATTATTATTACATACAAAATTCTGTATTCAGAATTATGGTTTCTAAAATTATATTGGATCTAATAACTAGTAAAACATACAAAAATCAAATTGTGAAAAATATCTTAAAGAAATCTTAGGGAGGCACTGACTCCCCTGCCTCTAAAAAAAACTGCCACTGTCTAGGAAATTTTAATTATCTTATCTCCGTTTTAGTTTAGACAGTCTGACTGATACCGAATGGCATTTGCCTAATTCTTTCTTCTCTAGTAATTTACTGACCGATTATATTATCTGGACTATCACCAAAATATGTGTATTAAATACTATAATTTATTTGTCTTTTAATATTAGACTAATTATTAATTGTCAGAATTATAATTTTTTAACGAACTTACTACTACTTAACAGTATTTGTAAGAACTCTGAATAACAGTTTTATTATTACGATTATTTTACATGCAAAGCTTAATATTCCCACTTAAACGAGCATTGCCATCACATTCTTTTATATTATCTAAAATCGGCGCAAATACAACTCAAACATACATTTGAAGTTAGTCTGACTCTGGTTCGGCAAAAAATACCTTAGAATGACAACTGTGACTATCGCCCTCTTTTCGACAGTATCCAAACTATAGAAATGTTGAAATACAAAGAATTTCTTCAATTGTTCGGCATGAAAAGATGACGGATAATATAAAATATCAGAACATGTACCTTTCCTGTTTTGTCCAATTGATTTATAAAACTACTCAATAATTCTTATTAATTCATGTATAAATAGTATCCTAAAAGCATTCTGCTGGGTGTGGGTATGTTTATAATACCGTACGCTTTTATCTGTATGTTCAACAGTCGTGTAAAGTTCAGGAAACGTAAGATAAAAAAATATGTTTTTTTTTCCTTACTTAAAATGTGTTGTCAGTTGTCTCACACCCTGAAGAACACTTGTATGAGTAGTACAGTGAAGAGATATCGTTTCTTACTTGCTTAGATTTTTTAAACAATTGGACAAAAAATTCATTGAAAATTGCGCATAAAAACGCCCCCCTTAAGAGAAATGCAAAAGTTATAAATTTTGAGTTTTCAAAAATTATATTAAGTTTTAAAAGTTAAAAAATACAAAGACGACAAATTTTTAATAGTCATAAAATAAGGCACAAGATTCAAACATATTTTTTAATTATTTTTTAGTCAAATTACAAAAAATATTATTATCCACTAATAAATGAATTGATTTTGATATTGATCATGAAATAAATCTAAATGAGAAATTTTATTTAGGCACCTATATAAACTTTTTTACTCAGACTGTTGCGCGAGGTCCCAGGCGAATCCCTGCCCGCCACCCCCTAAGGCCACCACTGTATACGAAGGTTGTCTAGAAAGTAAAGAAGGAATTGGCATAATTAAATAAAAATGAAAGATATAGACACAAAACACTTATTGTAACGTGGTACCAGTTTTTCAAATCCAATGTTATACTCTTCTACAGCCAAAGATCTGAAAGCCGCTTTACAGTCTGCAATTCTTTCTGCTAGTTACAAGTCTCTTGTATGTAGGCATGCACACTGAGCAGCAGTGTATTACAAAAGTTGTCCTATTTGAAAGACTTGCACATTTGGAATATCGGTTTTGCTTGATTTTTATTACAGCTTTTTTGCAATTCTGGGGAATAATTTAGTTATTTGTATGGTTCTTCTTTTTCTTCATCTAGTGGTTGGTCCTTGAAAAGTCCCATAGCACTGCGGCCTAATTAGGCCTATTGTGCGTTATTATTTGTATGGTTACCACATATGTAAAAGTTTCTAGACTGAACTGTCAAATTCAAATGTGTTAATTGAAACCTTAGAATGGTTGTAATTAAGACTGACTTGTAGAAGTATCTGGGACTGAAATCTTTATTTTATAGGTTATGGTTAGTTGTCACTGTTTATATTTGGAAGAACAGGTTAGTGCAGTGTGCATTTGGTTTGAAGTGTTGATATCACTTTTATTGCAACTGCAAATTGACAACTGTAAAACAAACCACGAATGAGAATTCCGGGAAAGGTATTTACAAGTGAAAGGACTTGCTGCAAGTCATTGCAGAAAGAATTGGAGACTGTAAGGTGGCTTTGAGCCAGGATGTCACTGCTTTGTGGTTTTTATAGTTTGTGAACTGTTTTCCACCCAAAAATTTCTTTAGTTTCGGAAACAAGTGAAAATAGATGCATGAGGATGAGCATTGTCGTGAATTAAAAACATTTTTACTGACAACATTCCGCGTCTCATATATAGCGCGTGGGAGTCATTGAAGAGTTTCATGTTTGGCTGTTGAGTTTATTGTTTTTTCTCTTGGTATAAACTCCACTACCGCTTGAATTCTGGGGTTTTGTAAGAACCCCATGTTTCATCTTCCAGTACAATGTGGTTAAGAAATTCATCCCCATTATTTTCAAATTGGGTTAAAAATTCAAGAACTGTTCCCTTGTATAATTTTTTATATAGCCAAGGTGCCCTCTCACTATTTCATATAGGAGAGATCATAAAATTTGTAGGAAAGATGTAAGGTGTTCAAAGTGAAATACCGGTTTTCCTGAATTTTGTCTTCAAATTTTTCTTTCAACTCATCTGTAAAGAGTGATGGCCTCCCACTCCGGTCTTTGTCATGTACACTGGTTCTTCCTTGATTAAATATCATTTTCTCATTGTATTATTACCATACACATGCGATATTTGCCTAAAAATTTCGATAAGCCGAACATTTTGTTCATTCATTTTATGCATTTCACATTTGGCAGAATTTTTTATTGGTGCCACCATTTTGAGAGGTTACAGAACAAAGAGACGTGACCGTACAACAACAAAACTCGACACACAGTGAGGCCGGGAAAGGACCTAATTGGCGTGCATGCATGGTGGTGGGGGACTGACGTTGAGCGTCATGTGCAATCGTTCTTTACTTTCTGGAAAAAAACGAAATTTTGCAAAATTGTTTTATTTGTTTTCTGGCTTTATTTGAAAACGAATTTTAAAATAAATTACATATTTACGTTGCCACTTTTTTCGCTCTATCCAATGGCATCAATATTTTGCAATCTGACGTTTCATCTTCGAGGGGCCATCGTCGGGTTAATTTTTTTAATTACTTCTGCTATTTTTATGACAAAATCTAGTCATTTTTAATTCTGAATTAGATGATATTACTATTGTAAACGCTTAAAAAGGTTTTTAGCTTGTTTTAGCTATCATTTAAAATTTTTTCTGAGTACGGTCCTGAACGCTTTCAAAATATCTATTGGAGGAAGTATAAAAGTCAATACTGCACAAAATATCCAACAATTTTTTTTACTACTGTAAGCAATACTAATTAGAAATAATAAAACATTTCATAAATTCGTATTATTTTTTTATTAGGTACAACTTTTTAAAATTATTGATTAAAAAAATTCATATCAGCTTTCTTCTTAACCAAAAGTAAGTGATCTAAGATGCCATTGCTTTTACGATAGCAACAAAAATTTCAAAAAAATATCTAAATGTTACTCGACAACGTTTAGTTCCTCATACACACTATATATGCACAGTTAAAAATTATTTTATTTTAGGTATCCCATCAACAAATGCAGTCAGCTACAGAAAATGGTGATGCTGAACAACCAATCCACAATAACACATCACAAGCTCCTGTTGCCCACGGAGGACACGAGGAGCAATCTCTTGATGAAGTATTTATTCATCAAGGTATTCACACCATCGAATATGTCTTGGGATCAGTTTCCCACACTGCTTCATATCTCCGTCTATGGGCATTGTCTCTTGCGCATGCACGTAAGTACAAAATCATGCACTAGTTAGACAATAATGTAAAAGTTTTGTTTTTGACTTTTAAAAACAGTGTTAGAAAATTACTAATCTAATTAAAGATTCCTTAATGTGTCACCAGAAGACTTAAAAATGTTTAAAATTTTATATAGAATATTTACACTTAGGAAGTGCTATTTTTAATGTCTATTCGCTAATTGTATTGCTGCTATTGACTTGGTTTTAAAATAAAACATAAATTTGGCAAAAAAATAAAAACAAAAAAAAAACTGAAAACAAAGATGATACAATTTCATTGAATATCTCAGAAACAAGACCAAATATTCAAAAAAAAAAAAGAGACGAAAAAGTTTAAAAATTAATGAGACAAAGGTGGTGTGCAGCTGTTTTATTGAAATTAATTATTTTTTTTTTAAGTTTTGAAACAATGTAAGAGGGGAGTAGCACACAAAATACACTTCTAAAAGGGGCAGATGGTTCAAACTTAAGAATGAAAGATCATAAGGAATGTTTGTGTTCCGAATTTCACTTCAATCGGAGTAGTTCAAAAGTTATGAAGGAAAAACGAGAAAAAAATTCCTGCTTCTACGCCCTCTATCTCCGAAACGATGCGATTTAGGAAATAAGTTTATATCATGAATGAACATTATTTTAACCTGTTCCATGGATTCTTGAAGTTATCCAGATTAAACCTGAATCACCCTGTATATCCACTGCCCCTCATCTCTCGATATTCCCCCACTACTCGACCACGCACGGGCGCTCGGTTGTTTTTGAGCATGTTTGGAGGAATTTTTCACCTATTTCGCAGCTTTTTATCAGAAAATTAGAAAATACGTTTTGTTGTATTAAACATCTACTTCGGCTGAAAAATTTAAATCGGACCACCTCCAATGCATCCAGAAATTTTGCAAAATGATGCACCAAAAAATTCAAATTGCAGTTGTGCCAAAAAAAATGGTCCGACAGCGCCTGCTTTGTGCACACTTAAAGTACATATAATTCACTATTTTTGTGCACAGGGTCAGCTGTACAACTTAAAAAATGGCGGAGTAATGAATTTTTAAAAAACGCTAAATTTTCCGATTTTTCCGGGTTTTCTCGGTTTCTAATTATCTGATCGGATTGATCGACCGTTTTATTCGTATTTCCATTCTCTACAAATTGTCTCGTTATAGCATTCAGATTGCTTCGTTAGTTTGGCTTTTATAAGCAAAAATCTAAAAAAAAATCGTTTTTTGCATACAAATTAATTAATGGCAAATTGGAGTAAGGAACGTATAAACTTATATCTACAGACTGTCTTTTATATGATGACAGTCGGTTTGCTACTAGTAATTTTTGTCACAAACAAAACCTCTATTGATTGGCCTAGTCAGCTAATACACTGAACCAAAGATTAATTTATAGGGTGAGCCAAAATAAGTAAAAGAAATAAGGCTTTCCATTAAAAATTATTTTTCTTGGACATTTTTACTTTGCTGTTACACTTAATTATTTCCAGAAGTCATAATTGTGTGTATTTTATAATTTGCAATTTTAAAATTTTCTAAACATACATTACATACTTGGTTTTAACTTTCAAACTCATTTAAATAAGAAAAATGTCTGGGTGCAGCAAAGGGCTTAATTTTAAATTAATACATACAACTAAATTCAGGCCCGGATCCAGAGGGGGTGGCAATGTGGCGATCGCCACCCCCAAAGCACAACATTTTTTAAAGATCTTCAATTTCTCCAAACGACAACAGGCAGTTAGTCGATATTAATGCAAGTAGAAGGATTCATTAGTGTCAAGCTCCTCTGAAAAAGTGCCACATTTTTCATTAGTTTATTGCTATTTTGCAATGCAAATTTTAAAAATTTTGGTTCGCCAATATGCCTATCTTGTACAACATTCAATAATGAACAAAAAATCTATAGTTACTTTTTTTCGTCCGAGGCTTCCTTTACGAATAATAAGCGATAATATCCGAAAAAACGGGCCATTTTTGAATTATTTCGCACTTTTCATTAATTTAAACAAACTTCCCAAGGTTTTCAGCTTTCCGCAGGTCGATATTCCGAATGTACACATTTTCCCGGTTCGATTAAAAAAAAAACAGGTTTACATCAAGCAACAGCCATTTCGGCTCGGTTTTTGGCTCCGCCGACTGGACTATTATATATTATGACTTTTAACGAAACGGAGACAGGTAGATAGAGCCAGTCAATAGATTGCCTGTCAGCCTGTTGGGATTTTCCGTACGCCTGCCTCAAAACGTTTATGGCGCAATAAATTTTTATGGCTTGAATGGGAAATTTCGTTATTTTTCTTTTACGTTTTTATTTTGAATCTCATAACCCGGAATTTTTGGATTACGCGTTTTCTTGTCTCTTGGAGATACCTACCTACCTAGATAGCGTTCTTTTATAAAATATCGATTTTTGTATCAATAAATATATGCATAATGTTTTTAGATTAAATATCTCTTGTCATTCAAAAATCCCCCCTCCCCCTTCCTAACCTACACCTTACGTCATCAAAAAAATAACAACAACAACAACAATAATAATAATAATGATAAAAAAGTGCTTTGCGCCACTCCCAAAACCAGTCTCTGGATCCGGGCCTGACTAAATTTGTAATATGTACTTTAGTTAGACATTATGCATTTTATATCTATTTTATTACATTGAATTTTTAATATGTAAATATATAGAATGTTGAGCCTTTAGTAGTTTAGATGATAATGGTTGAATAAAATTACTTCATATTACTGATTATTACAAAAGTTCTTACCTTTCCTTGATATAACAAAGTTGTGTGAGCCACCTTTTAAATTTTATTCGTAACATCAAATTTCATTAATTGAATCTAATAAAGTTACAAATTTCACCATCTTGAATGCTGGGATCAAATTTAAGGACTCCACTGTTTACATGCATGTAGTGAGTACATAGTATTGAGTTGACTAAAGACTTTTCAATCAACTGAATAAAATCATTTTAACTGATTTTTTTAAATCAAATCATTTTAGTTCATAATTTTAATAAATTACACTAGAAAGTACAGCTATGAATTGGGAATAATTTACAAACAAATACATGTATAATACAAGAATAGAATATATAATATTCTGATGTGAAATTAACAGCTGAAATAATCAGCATCCAGTTTATTTGCGGATGAAATTACCAGCCAATGCAGCAGCCTTTTTCATTCCATTTTACTAGAGACGCACACACAAATATCTAAAAAACAATCAGTTGCGCCCCTTTTGAGAGGTAGAAATTATCCTCACAAGCGATATTTTAAATATTTTTTTTTTACAAAGTTAGAATCAGGACAAGACCAAGTTCAATGTAGTTGCTAAAAATGTGCAAGTAAATGGCTGAAGCAGCAATTCCTTGCACCCCTTTTTAGATGTAGAAATTGCCCCTCCCTCCCCCCAAAAAAAAATTTTAAATATATCCTTAGTTCCAAAAACTGTTCAAGGAGAGGTCCGGTGCAATGTTGTCGCTAAAAATGTGTAAGTAAACATCTAAAATAGCTACTAATTGAGCCTCATCTGAAGGGTAGAAACTACCATTGCTACAGAAATTTTGAATATTTTCTTTTGTATGTTTTTATCAACTACATTGCACTTATCGCACCTTTTAACTGATTTTGAAACTGTAAATAAAATTATTTAAAATTTTTTGTGTGATATTCTACCCTTCAGACGAGATACAAGAAATTGTCACTTTAAGCATTTAATTGTGTGTCTTTAACAACTACATTGTATAGTTACGATATCAATTGGAACCTGTGAATCTTAAAGCACAGAACCGTCTGCACTTCTCTTGAAATTTCTTCCTTTGTTTTAGCCATTATCTGTCTCGTAATTTATACTCAAATAGCCGTTGGGGAGTCCGGTATTGGTAGACCAGTCTGCTTGATGTAGAATCAATGGCGGCACGCTGGTCGTCAAAGCAAACCTGTATTGTTCCAGCAAATCGTAAATAATTTTTTGCGTGGTATTCTATAATTAGTTTTGTGTTGAACGCTGTTCACTTGGTTTTGCCAGTGCAGTGAAGAGCAGTGCTTGGCATTGTTGCTTGTTGGTATAATACGTATTATTAATTATTAGTTAATATTATTATTTGTGCATATCGTAAACAATAAAGGGTAATAGTTATTAAAATAAATATTATATATGTAATTATCTAGTAATTTAGCATGGCTTTCTGAAGACCCTTTGAAACGGAAGATAAAGAAATAATCCGGGAAAATCCCCAAATAGTCGAGCCAGTTTTTGTCGAAAGCGTCGAAACAAACTCAGAGTTTAAAAACAAAGATTTACACATACAAAGTTAACATGTTATTTTAAATATATATGAATGTTTGAAAAGAGAAAATAGTGAACAGTGTAATAAAGGAATTAGGAAATGGATTAGCGAATTAACTAAGATATCAAAAACGTCAATTTATCACGTAATTAAAGGAGACATGGTACAAAGAGGAAACGGAAAAATACAAAATTAAAATATATTGACGATTTTACCAGAGATGTAATATGGTGCACAATTTATAATATGTATAAAGAAAATAAAGTTTCTACTTTAAACATGATTCGAGATAAATTAAGCGATTATCCTGATTATAATTATAAATCTTTCTGGATGCCTATGGATTCCGTAGAGTTTATGAGTTAAATGTTTTTATGTGGTTCCAACTGATATCGTAACGACTATACCTAGTACTTTGTATAAAAAATATTTAAAAATTTTTTAGTGAGAGTTGTTTCTATCCCTTGGACAGGATGCAAGTGACTGCCACTTTATTGTTAATTGAGTTTAATATAAAATCACCATTTTTTCAATTAACAAAATTAATTTTTCTATCCTTTACAATTTGCATACATTTTATGCTGTAGATCAGGTCTGGGCTATCAGCCAGTCATCTAAGAATATTTCACGATTCATTTTTTTTGGCCATTCTCTTACTATTAGGGGTGTACATATCAACCTTATGTCATTATTATCCAACCTTATATCAGTGTAATCCTAAAGCATTCTTATCCAAATATATAATAATATACAGTTTTTAATTTAAAAAAAGTTATGTTCGCTTTGTTTCTACACTTTTTGACATTCATTTTTTTTTTTTATTTAGAATAACCCTGGGTCCCTGGGTGTCAAAATATAAATGAACATCCCGTAATACAGAACTAATTTACTTTAAGTTTATGTTCAAGATTTATTAATCAAAGTGTATTTAAATTTGAATATGTAGTCAAAAACCGAAAAAGATCCATGAAAGAATTTCTGAAAATGTTTTATTTTCAAGACAGTGTCGAAATTTAATAAAATTCATGTTTTACAGGTATAAAATATGTCTGAACATGTTAAACACACATGGCGATGAGACTGGATAATAATTTATCTAATTAAATATAAAAATTTGTTGCATTCGTATATAAATACGGTAATTAGTGATTGAAATATTGAAAGTCCTATCACTAATAACCCTCAAAATTTTATGCCACTGGGTATTTTGGAAATTCAGTCACTACTTGTAACCGTTAGTCGTATTTCCCAGAATACTCTATTTTATACAAAAAACAGACCATTTTCTAGTTATTACTCTTTTTAGCTTATTCTATTATTACTAAGTTTAAAAAAAAAATTAAAAAATTACTAAAACTTTGTTTTGCAAAAATTTGTATTATTTTTTAAAAATAGGACTTAAAATTTTTTATAAATATTTAAATATGATACGAAATATGAAAAAATCATTGGCATAGAAATTTAACATTTTGTTAAAGCAACAAGCACAGACCCACAAAAAATGTAAAATTTCTACATCAATATTTTTTTTTGGACTTTGTTATACTGTATTTAAATCATATTTCAAGAAAAAAATATCCTTTGTACTTTTTTTTGTAAATAGTTGTTTTACAACATAAGAGGTTTTATTTTAAACCACTAGCACTAGCATCAAAGTTTTAAAATACCGATAGTGATAACATTATGGAATTTTTAGTAAAAGAAACGGAAAATACATATACAGTATAGACTCTTTAATCCGAATTCACTAATCTGACCCGACAAATGCCCGTTTCGATGGTCCGAACAAAACTCTTTAATTCGAAGAAAATTCGGTTTAACGGATATAGTTCGAATTATAGAGTCAGACTTTAGGCTAATTAAAAAAAAAATCGACAATTTTATTTCAAAATCCCCTCTGAAATAGATTCAGGGAGGTGAGAATGAGAGGAGATACCTATAAAAATCGGAACTCTTAATATTAATATTTAGAGGTCGGACATCGCGATTTTCTGTTTTCCATTTAAATAAAATGGGAAAAGTTATTTTTCAATTTCAGAATTTTATATCCTAAAAACCAATAGACGGATTTAAATGACCGAAACGTATTCTTGTAAGGAATTGAACGTTCTACAAAAAATGTCCCTTATCATTTTTTGATAAACCTACTCGTACAAAAGTTATTCAAATGTAAAATTAAATTTATGTTATAATTACACTTTTTCTCCAGTTTCAGGTAAAATGATGTAAGGTTATCATGAAATAACGAGGGTTCAAATAAAAACGTGGTCAAGTTGGTTCTGAAATTTTGGACTTAGGGCGTAGCGTATAGCAAATGAACTTAAACGTCATCTGTCAAAGCGCTATATCGCCGCTATCAATTTGAATATTTTCGTTTTAAAAAGCGTTTAAAATGGTGTTTTCTCAAGAACAAAAAGTGTTTATCATAGAGTCCTACTTTAGAAATGGACGCAAGATTGATGGAATATGGAAGTATTCTATTCAGGAATGTTTCATAGAATTTCAAAATCAATTTCCCGGCGTTGTTGAGTACAAAATTTTTCAAAGTGCAGTTCAGCGTTGTGTTAATGTTTTTCGTGAAACGGGCAGTGTAACAAGAAAAGAAGGAAGCGGCCAACCTAAAAAGCGGACTGAAGAATTAAAAGAAAATGTCCAACAAATAATGGAAAATGCGCCAAGAAGTTCTGTACGTGTTTTATCACAAATGGTGGGAGTATCAGTCGGTACCTGTCACACAGTGTTAAAAAAAGATTTGCGTTTGTTCTCCTTTAATTGTTTGTTATTGTTATCACGATTATTCTTTAAAATAAAGTTATATAGTCATTAACGTTATTGAAACTGACAGCTGCTATACAGCTCGTTGAGAAATGAGGTTAAGTTGGTCGCTATAAGCTACTCCCCACGTCCAATGTGTCAGAGTACAACTTCGACCACGTTTTTATTTGAACGCTCGTTATTATAAGAAAGGCATTTAAAAGTCAAAATTGATTGACTTTTTTGTAGAATGTTCAATTCCCTACAAGAATACATTTTGGTCATTTAAATTTGTCTATTGGTTTTTAAGACATAACATTCTGAAATTGAAAAATAATTTTTCCTATGTTATTTAAATGGAAAATAGAAAATCGTGATGTGCGACCTGTAAATATTAATATTAAGGGCCCCGATTTTTACAGGCATCTCTTCTCACCTCGCTGAATCTATTTCAGAAGGCATTTTGAAAAAAAAAAATGGTCGATTTTTTTTTAATCGGCCTAATCAGACTATAATAAAAAGTAACCGCTAAAAACGTAATTCCCCGGCAGCTTCAGGGAAACCGTTTTATGGGAGTTGGAACCTTTCGATTAGATCTTTTTGGTTGAAATATTATTGCCGTGCAAACATGTCACAAAAAAGAAAGCATCACACGTTAATTCTTTTGCAAAAAGTGGATATTCTAAATAAATTGTTTTTTTAAATCTTCTTTTTTATTTTTAATAAATGCATATCCATATTTTACGATAATGTTTGGTTTTATTGTTATTTTTTGCCTTCTCAGTAACACATAAAATCTAAATTATATTATAATGTATGTCCATAAACATATTTACATAAGTACATATTTACTGTCCAGTAAGCTGAAAATATCGGTAATTCGAACTTATCTCTAAGCTCTTGTCTTAATTAGGATTAAGGTGTCTCTACTGTATAGGTAATTATGAATCACTTATCCAGATTTCATCATTCTATCTCAAGCATCTCGAGGGATATTTCCTTCATTTTTTAACACATGGATGTGAAAGCGTTTTCTGACATTCTTTTGTAGAACTCTTCTTATTTTGACCATACAAGTACTAATTTTAAGATTGAACAATGAATCCTGATATACCTTGTATAACAATGTTTGTTATATATTTATATAATCACCAACTAACTAGACGTATATTTTTAACTTTTAGAGCTCTCAGAAGTACTGTGGAATATGGTGTTAAGTAAAGGTTTAACAGTTGATGGTTGGGTAGGGGGAGTTGCACTATATGTAATCTTCGGTTTGTGGGGAATCCTAACTGTATCCATTTTAGTTCTCATGGAAGGACTTTCTGCATTCTTGCATACTCTACGTTTACATTGGTAAGACAAAAGATATATTCAGGAGTAAAATTTTTAAAATAAATATACATTTTAGGGTGGAATTTCAAAGTAAATTCTATTCAGGAAATGGTTATAGTTTTCAACCATTTTCATTTGAGATTATTCTGGATTCTGCTACCCAGGCTAAAGAAGAAGTTTAAATATTATGTAGAGAATTTATCTTGTAATGCATGTTAACTAATTGTACTTAAGTATAATTTTAAATGAACTATGCATGTGTAGTACCTCTTTGACAATTTTGTTTCAATAACATTAATAATAATCGATGTAAACTTATAATGAATAAACTGTATAAGAGGCTGTTGGTTCTTTCTTAATTTTCATCATCTCAATCCTCTTTGTTACTTGTACAAATCCGTGGGTACATGTCACATGTAGCATGTCTTAATTAATAAATGCTGTCATCTGTCAATATTTTAAATGAATAGAGACTTTCCACAACTGCAACAAAAATTCAGATTTGATTCTTTCCATGAAAATAAAAAAAAACTAAAACTTAAAACAATACCTAAGGAATTTAAACTGATAAAAAAAGTTATCTGAAATTAGAGATAGAGAATCCTTAAGGTTTGGATAGTTCTTTCCCATGGTTAAAAAAATACAAAAACCATAACTTTTGTTAACAGTCCATTATTTTGGTTTTTCAGATGAAGTAGGAATCATGATCACAGGCGACATTCGTCATTTTCATTATGTCAATCAAATAAAAAAGAAAAGATATCGTAATGAAAAAGAATAGTTGTGTAATATACAATAACTTAATTTTCAATGTCTTTTTAAATTAGGATGAACTAAAAATATTAGAAAATTGTAAGAAATATAATTTGTTGGAGCAGAAATTTATAAATGTAGGGATCTGTTGAACAGTGCCGGCCCTTTGAAAGTGGACGATTTATTTTTCTGTGATGTGGTCTACTTTTCTTATTATGACAAGTTTTTATATGTCAGTGTCATTAGTGAATTTGCTTGGTAATTCAAGATGCCATGTTTAACGGAACCAGAGAAAGTGAGAGCTATAATTTTACTTCAGAATGGTTGGTCATTGCAAGCAGTTGCGAATGATCTGCATGTATGTAAGAACAGTAAATTTAAACTCAAAGAAAGATGGAATACGGAGGGTCACGTGCGTTATGTTCACGGAGGTGGGTGTCGAAAAGTAAGCACCGTTAAAGAAGATAATCTATTCCTTGACCACCTAAGAAGAAATCCTTTTGACAGGGCAGTAACGGCTTCCTTTGAGGCAAATTTTCCTGGATCAGTGCAAACTGCAAGGAAGCGGGTGAAGGATTCGGAGCTGAAGAATTATGTTGCCGCAAATAAAGTTGCTTTGACTCCCCAGCATAAAGTACAGAGATTAGAGTTTGCAAGACAATTTGTAAGAAGACCAGACAACTTCTGGGAGAATGTTATATTTTCGGTCGAGAAAAGTTTTCAGTCTTCCTCCGATGGTTCTGTCCGTGTTTACCGACCGGAGAATACAAAAAAATCTACGACAGAAACTTCCGTCCAGCTAACACCGAAGAACTTTGGGAGGCAATTGAAAACGCATGGGATAACATCACTGAGGATTACACAAGAACATTAATTTTATCAAGATTGCAAAGTACTATAGACAAAAATGGTGCTTGGACAAAATATTAACTTTACAAATCGTGTTTTTCTGCCAACGAAAAGTGTTTCGTTATTAGATCTCGGTGACGGCAAATCAATGGATGTAAAAATGTGTAATATATTTTAGTATTGGAAAAATAAATAGTTTGCTACCTATTTTGGATTTGTTTTGCTCACTAGAACTAGTATGATAGACACACATTAAATGTGATCTTTTGACAGCTGATTTGAACTTGACATTTTCAAGTCAGCTTCACAAAGACCAATTATAGACAATTTGCTTATAAGAGTCGTCCACTTTCAAAGGGCCGGCAGTGTACACATATCGCACAAGTAAAAACGTAAAATCAGACCTATGAATCTAGATGGAAATTTTTCAATGAAATAGTGCCACAGGCAATAGAGTGTACAATTAAGCCAAATGAAAATTTGGAAAATTCAATGATGGAAGTGTCGTGTTTTTAAATAGGTTTCTTGTTCATCTAGCACCTTGGATTGGACACCGTATCGTGTTTCTTGTTTATCTAGCAGCATGGCCCTACGTCAGGCATCATGTCGCAGACTGAAGTATGTTGGTTGTCGCTCTTCAATTACGTCCCACGTTGAGCGCAATGACATGGTTTTTGCTTGGTTTGTTCTTGGTGGAATGGACCTATTTCCATCTCTCAGCACAAGAGTGATAGACCTTCATAATGGGTTCAGAAAGGTCTTATCTTAAATTTTATATCGGTAGGTCGCTGATTGTGTGACCTTTTTTTTTAATCTGGCTCTTCAGACAATCGCCTCCTACGCCCTTAGGAAAATATGTCCCTGGTTGTTGGATTATGTCAGCGAAGGAGGAGGAGTGACACACATCATCGTCATTCGAGCGGACGGAGGACTCGGTGGCATTCTCATCCGGGTGGCTCGTAATTTGGAAACTGCTGAAAAATTTCAAAACCGGCGATTTTTTGTATTCTCTTCGTGGTTGCTGAGGTGCGTACCGCTCGTTCCCGTGCTTCTACGCCTCAATGTGGATGGTTTCAGAGCTATCTGATGGCGATTGTGTTGTCTGCGAAGTTGTGCGTGAATTTTTTGAAAGATCGGCGAAATTTGCAATGGTTACGAATTCTTTTTTCTGCTCTCGGAGCTGTTCTCCGTGCTTGATGTTCGAATTTGTGGCGGGAATTACACCAATTATTATGTTTATCTGATAGAAATGTTGCGAGAATTCGAATTTGTTAAATTGTATAGCCAAATTATGAAATAGGTAAGTTAGAGAAAAGAGCTTGCTTGTTAGTATATCAAAATAAATATGCCAGTTTAAAAATTTATGCATATTGTAATGTAAAAGTAAATAAAAAATTGAAAATAATAGTTTTAAATTATTTTTATTAAAGAAAATAAGAATAAATAATGATGTCGAACAAAATGATTCAAGGAATTGTAAATTTCCTAAGCTAATTTATTAGCAGAATTTCAATACATCGAAAATTTTACCATTCTGAAATGTTAAAATTTTCAAATCTCTTTACCAGCACTTTATTAGTGGCCTAGACTTTATCTCTAGTTGCCTATTCACCCAGGAGTTGAACTTGTAATCTCGTGATCCGAGATGGGATGGGACACACCAAGCTTCCAGAAACTTACAATCAAGTATTCTACAGAGGCCTCAAAAAATTCGAGCTCTGAAGTAGCTTCCAATTCATGCAAGGTACTTTTGGGAGACCTCAAAGCAGTTCTAAGCAAGAGAGAGCCTAAAACACAGTGATATAGACACTTGGGTACCCATACTAGATGTATTCTTTTTACCACGTTTAACTGAGATTAACTGAGTCACTCAGTTCGTCTTAGTAAATTAGGAAAAGTATATGTTCTTTTAATATGGCTTAAGTTGAGTACAAAGTGAAATTAACTAAGAAAATTTCTTCCCCCCTTACCCCAACTGAGCTAGCTTTTCATAAAACTTAGAAGCGAGTCGTAAGTGAGTTGAAATCTTTTTGCGTTCTGTGCCGGATATTTGTAATGTTCCATGGTCATATCTTACTTAAATTAAAAGTGTGTACCATTAAATATATGGAGGTTTATCCTTTACATTTTTTAAAATGGAAAATAAAAATGTAATATCTACACATTCCTATAATGTAGTATTCGATAATCATAACAATTGTATTAGATACGAAAAAGATGAAATCTTAGTAGGGTAGTAGTAAAGTATATTTACCACAAAATCATTTTTATACAACAGTTAATTTTCCGACACTCCGGTTGAAAGAGGAAGAGTTCTTCGTATCCACACATACCATCTCAATGATTCCGGGAGAACCCGAGGGACCGACACCGGTAGCCCTCCGAAGTACGTGGCAAGGCGCAGCCACAGTGCCCTATGTGGTGAGGTCCGCTGCTTCGAGGGTTCCAGATACCGACTCGGTACACCCTCCGGGCATTCTCGAGCGAGCGGCCGAACTGAGCGGACGTGTTTATTGTGAAGTGAAGTACACTGCAACGAGCAAGACCTACCTGCCTTTATTAAGGCTACCTGGAAAGAATCCCTTTCTTTCCTCTTAACCACCGACCTAATCCCCGGCTTAAGCATAGAGGCCGTCGGCATCTTTGTTACAGGTACCTGGCCGGGGTTATGCCCAGGTAAGTTTTTTCTTTATTTATCAGTTATTTGCATTATTTTAGAATACATTTCTTTAAAATTGCGACCCCCGACAAACAATATACCAGACAGACTAATACACCAAAAGACACGTACGCCCCCGTAAGGGGGCATCCCCACACGACTAAAACCTACACACCCTCACACACACGCACACACACACACACACGCACGCACACACGCACGAACACACGCACAACATGTCGGACTCCGAAAACGAGGAGAACATATACATATACATGGACGATACAGACAGCGAAAGACCCTCTTCAAGAGTCTCCGCTTCACCAAA